ATAAAATACTAAGCATAGTAAGTTAATAAACTAAAAAACAAATATTATTATTTATTTTATTAACTTTAATAAAATTATAAATTATTAACTATATAATAAAATTATAAATATTATTTTTTTTATTAACTTTAATAAAAAAAATTTAATAAAATAAAAATAAAAAAACATATATTCTTTAATATTTAAAGAAAATAATTGATGAAGGATCTGCATGAATGTAGGTTCATCCCAATTAAATATGCCCAACTTATAATAGTTTCCGTCTTATATAGTCATAAATAGTATCAGCAAATTGTCTGTAAAAAGAGCCTCAACAAAAGATATCCCTGCCAAAGACAAATAATCTTTTTTACCACAATATTTTAACCCAACCTAACGTAATTCCTTTTCTATCCTATTTAGTTATTTGAAAGTAATGAATACTATTTAGCAGATAAGATGTAGTTAGCAATGTTATTCGCAAAAGCTTCTCGCTGGCCAGAACTGCCATAAAAATGAGCCCCTTGAATACTCAAAGTTCATTCAAGCAAACGAATGCCGCATTTAATATTCAAAAGTTATTTTGTCAAAGTAAGTGCTATTAGTGAGTTAAGGATTAAGTTTTGTCATCATTTCTGATATTTAAAGGTACAGAATCTGTTTGTGAAATGAATGCTACCATTGGAAATCTTTTATCAAATATTTAGGAATGTTTAGGTATAATAGGCATTTTTACATCCTATTTGGTATTCTGAGTTCCTTTCATTTCTAAACAGAAAAAGATTTCTGCAGTTTGTTAACCTAAACGGACAATCTGCACAGATGGGCTATTAATCTATTAATTTCGTTTTGGCATTTTGCGTTGGCTCAGTATAAACAGCGTTTCACTTTTCAAACTGTTGCCACCAAATATTAGAGCCCTGTATAGTATTTAAAGAAAATAATTGATGAAGGATCTGCATGAATGTAGGTATGTTTCTTGCACTTTGGAAAACCAACGACACACAGAGACATCAAATTTTGAACAACGTAGTCCTCCACTCGAATATGGGCATCTGGAGGCCCAAATTTGGAATTTTTTTAATTATCTATTTTATATTTTGTAAAACTTTAAGGAATTTATGATTAACAAACTCAACGATTTGAACTCCAGCGGGTGAAACTCTGTATCGGAAATTTTAAAGATATTCTGTTTTAAAATTATTTTGTGATATTGCTATTGAATTGAATTTTATTGGTTTAATGCGAAGAACATGGTATTTAATAAATACAGCTGCAAAACGTTGAAGAAACGCCTCTTTTGGCGTAATATAAAATCTGAAAGCTTTCAGATTTTTTTGTTTTGTTTTTAGACCAATGGGAAAATGTTTTAAAAGTCTTATATTTAATATTATATCGTTTTACGAACCATATTTATGTCCACCCTTTGGCAGGTTTTTTTTTCAACCAGAATTAGTTACACATCAAAATATGATTTTACAATCGTATTTACTCAAATATGGCCCCCTCGAATATGTAAGATTCCCCCTTCATTTTAGGATACATCTTAAGGGTACTTTTTGTTATAGCGGCCCCCCAGATTCAATCGCCAATCAACCGAGACATCTCGCCAAAACCTGGCTTTGTGTTCTTATAACTAGCTACGTGATCGTATATTAGCACCGGCTGCATGCTCTTATACCTCGCTACGTAATCGTATATTAGCACCGTGTTGCATTTTTGCTCTCGCCGCATGGTCTTATATTAATCACTTTTGATGAAGTTCTCAAATTCACGTTGTTTATTTAAAAAAATATATTCGTTGCTTTTTTGGGAATATGATGTTAACAATCTTTAATTTAATAAGTAATGAGGTGGATGTCATATAATTTTTTCAAGAAAGAGGTCTTTTACCTGACAAACGAGTACGAGAAAATGGCCACAACAGGAAACGTTATGTTAACGAAGCCATTTGGAGGTGCAATGTTAAACATTGCAAAAAGAAAAAAAAAAAAAAAAAAAAAGAAAGAAAGAAAGAAAGAAAAAAGAACGGCCTTTGTGTTGGAAATTGGTTTTTAGGGATTCCAGATTATCATTTGTCACTGCTGTTAGATTTATGTATTCTTGGGCAGAGGAGTTGACGTTCATGAAATGCTTTAACAAACAGCTGTATGAAAGTGAAAAGCGCTGCAGCTGATTGGAACAGTTACATGAGATAAAATAATAATAAAAGATATGGGTTCTTAAAAAATATTCTTAGGAAAGAACATGCGAGTTTTATTGCTATTATTATATATTGTGTTGTTTATTTTTATGTTCGCGCTTCACGAGCTTGGTGAAGTTACAGCTGAGATCTTGGCGCAAATCTAAAATCGCCAAATATGGTTGGGGAGCCGCTATAACAAAAAAGTACCATTTCAAGAAATAAAAGTAAAGGTGATTATATATAAAGATTAGAATTAATTTTTTAATTTTAATTCTTAATTGAAAACAATACATGATATAGAAAGAAATGTACTTACATATTATTCTGTCGGCCCTGAAAGTTGGCTACTAATGAACTATGAAAGTTGGGCGAGATCCCGTCTAAGTTGTGGCAATCGTTCATGCGGAATTCTAAGTCGCACTTCTATCTGCAGCTCTTAAATCGTTAGTCTCTCTGCACAATGCACCAAACCACCTCTGCTGCAGAAGTATTCAGCCAGCATCGTTTCTGCGTTTCGCAAAAAGGCTCTCATGGATACTCATTATTTTGTTAGGCTCTCGTATTTTACCGAAAGCTCTTTAGATCGCTACGAGTACAGCTTACAGATTATTATTTGAAACTATTACTGTTTTGTCTGCCATTATTTCAGCTCTTTTCCCCCTTTCAACAAATGTTAATTCTTTCGACGACTAAATGAGAAAGAGTTCCGTCACAAATGTAATTCTACAGCCCTCAAACTCATTTTTTTTTCCAACATACAAAGAAAAAATACAGCATTAATAGTTAATTCATGTCTTTGTTCATAAAAACAAAAGATGATTTATTGAGACTCAATCGGAGGCCAAATGAATATTGTTGTAATCTCTTATTCCAAATATTTTAGATAGCAAGTTCCCAAAACATTAAACGAAAGCACAGATAAAATGAATGTGTCGTGACGTCATGCTTATCCATAACTGGGGCTAAAGCGCGCTACTTAGCAACAGTTCACGGTCGACGGAATAATACGTAAGTACCGAAAGAAAAATTAAGAAAATTTAATACTGCATCGTTACCTATTTGGATTATCCTTCTTTCCATCTTGCTCTCACAAATCATTATGAGAATATCCATTTACAATTAAAGCCCGAAAAAAGCATCTCTGCGATGTTATAGTCATGCGATGATTTGTAGATACTTTATTTTTTACCACGATATTTTCGACGACGATGTTTTTAAACTGCGGAGTTTTTCAACCGCTTTATTTTCGAAGACGATATTTTGCACCACAATGTTTTAGAACTGCGATGTTTTCTTTTTGCGATGTTTTCTCCTACGATGTTTTGTAGCACGACGTTTTCGCCTTGCGCTGTTTTCTCCGCGACGTTTTCGCCCGCGATGTTTTTGCTGCGATGTTATCGGCGGACACCGGTGCAATCATGTAGGTGAATTCTGGCGCAGGACTTGGTAGAATGCTTGGAAAAAAATAACATGCCAAATAAATGTAAATCTTAGAAAACCAATGATAACTGACGTAGATTTAACTTTAGCAGAAGAGATAATTGGAGTAGTTTTTAATTTAGCATTTGTCTTCCATTCAGCTGCAGCTAAAGAAGGCGATAGATTTTAAATGGCTGAAAGCGATTCTGCTGAAGTAAAATCTACGCCAGGTGTAGTCGATTTTCATAGAATCAAGTAGTATGTATAATTAAAGGTCTAATCTGTCTATCTGAGGCAACGATATATTATGAAATGATGTGTGTAATAATTAACGCAAATACTCCATTTAGCATAATTCATCAAGCATTATGTTTGTATTACTCATCTAGATTTTTTGTCACAACCATATACTTTTGAAATATTTATATATAATGATATTTAGCTCTGATTTCTTATTGAACAGCCCTTTAAAAATTAATATAAGCAATGAATTGTATGAAGCAATGAATATAATTGAAAATATAATGATTTTTTTTTCTTTTGCAGGCTTTTAGGATTTATAATTCAGACGGAAGGAAGTTAAACCAAAATGTTCACAATCTTTAAGAAAACTTCTTTAAAGTATTTCCCTTTTCTCTCCAAAAAATAGCATCTCTTTAAATACCTGCATTTAACGAAAACATCGATAATAATGTGATTATCAGCGTCATTATATAATCTAAAATTTTGATGGCTGATTTATATGCATTATGAGAAATCAAAAATATTTCAGTATGGTGTTGTATTTCTGTAATCATTTAACATTACTGAAGTATTAATATTTCTGTATAACACTAGACTCTTATTTAAATTTTGACAACTAAACATAAAATGTCAGATGAATCGTTTTGAAATGTATGCCACGGGCTAAGTAATACATCAGAAGCATACAAAATACACTACTTAAGTGTTTAAATCTGTACATAAAATGTGAGGGAAATTTCTAGTCTTAAAATGTTATATGATAATAGTGCAAATTTTAAGTTTGTAATTTAGCAGCTAAAGAAGGCGATAGATTTTAAATGGCTGAAAGCGATTCTGCTGAAGTAAAATCTACGCCAGGTGTAGTCGATTTTCATAGAATCAAGTAGTATGTATAATTAAAGGTCTAATCTGTCTATCTGAGGCAACGATATATTATGAAATGATGTGTGTAATAATTAACGCAAATACTCCATTTAGCATAATTCATCAAGCATTATGTTTGTATTACTCATCTAGATTTTTTGTCACAACCATATACTTTTGAAATATTTATATATAATGATATTTAGCTCTGATTTCTTATTGAACAGCCCTTTAAAAATTAATATAAGCAATGAATTGTATGAAGCAATGAATATAATTGAAAATATAATGATTTTTTTTTCTTTTGCAGGCTTTTAGGATTTATAATTCAGACGGAAGTTAAACCAAAATGTTCACAATCTTTAAGAAAACTTCTTTAAAGTATTTCCCTTTTCTCTCCAAAAAAATAGCATCTCTTTAAATACCTGCATTTAACGAAACATCGATAATAATGTGATTATCAGCGTCATTATATAATCTAAAATTTTGATGGCTGATTTATATGCATTATGAGAAATCAAAAATATTTCAGTATTGTGTTGTATTTCTGTAATCATTTAACATTACTGAAGTATTAATATTTCTGTATAACACTAGACTCTTATTTAAATTTTGGCAACTAAACATAAAATGTCAGATGAATCGTTTTGAAATGTATGCCACGGGCTAAGTAATACATCAGAAGCATACAAAATACACTACTTAAGTGTTTAAATCTGTACATAAAATGTGAGGGAAATTTCTAGTCTTAAAATGTTATATGATAATAGTGCAAATTTTAAGTTTGTAATGCCCGAAAAACTGGCTTGCTCGGCATGCAGCTGACCTATTTAATTGCTTGGCTTCTGGCAAGCCCCGCTTGGGTTTGCGGGCAGACTATAGGACATGTGACTAGAGATTATTTTGGAGATATATTCAGCCTTGAAGATTGTGAACCTTGTGATGAGTCAGGAAGAAAAGCAGCTAACATCCCAGGCGAAAAATGTCGCTGCCAGTGTGCCCCATCACATTATACCTTTCGAGAAGATATGAAGCAGTGCATCAAAGATGTTGGAGGTAATTTTTGCTTACTTCTTTTGAATAACTACAGTGTAAATTTTAAGTTTGTAATGTCCGAAAAACTGGCTTGCTCGGCATGCAGCTGACCTATTTAATTGCTTGGCTTCTGGCAAGCCCCGCTTGGGTTTGCGGGCAGACTATAGGACATGTGACTAGAGATTATTTCGGAAATATATTTAGCCTTGAAGATTGTGAACCTTGTGATGAGTCAGGAAGAAAAGCAGCTAACCAATCCCAGGCGAAAAATGTCGCTACCAGTCTGCCCCATCACATTGTACTTTTCGAGAAGATATGAAACAGTGCATCAAAGACTTTTTGTTGTTGTTGTTGTTGGAGGTAATTTTTTGCTTTCTTCTTTTGAATAACTATACCTTGATCATTTCTTATACCCTTCCTTCCTGAATTCAAAATCACTTTAGCATTTTATATAAGCTATTTGAAACAGATCCAAAATTTCGACTGTAATACACTGTTATTTGATTGTGATTTTCATACAAATTATGATACAAACCATATTTTAATGTAATGCATGAGAAAGTTTTCGTTGCTGACTCATTAATCAAAAATCTGTAATTCAAAACCTTCAGAGTTATTTCTGAAACTTTTATGAATTTTTCTCATTTTTCCATCATAACCATTAAGATATTTTTATAAGACTTATGCATTTTTTCTCTGAGTAGCTGATGTAAATTTTGCAGTGGCAAGGCTTTTTAAAACCCTACTTAAAAGATTTATTCTTTCGCATATCTTCTATTTAAATCTACTATACGTCATGAAATTAATGATATAGAGGCATTACTATTGTTTTTATTGTACAGCATAGATCAACACTCATTATATCACTCGTTTACTTACAGACAGCAGCAAATCGTTATTTTTCATGTTCTGCTATTTTTGCTCGGAGATTATTCTATGGCAATAATTCGTATAAATTGCGTATAAGAAATTTTTAAAGCAGTTGTGGCCAACTAGAGGCCATCAGACCGCAGCAATAATAACAAAATTTAGTATTATTGATTGACCTTTCACAATTTATACCAATAATGCAGAGCACAGATTTGGAGTTATCTGATATCATGATCAGTGAAAATTTTGGGTTGTTAGTTCTTTCTTGTAATAGATTTTAAGGCATTGGTTTGTATTGTTTTGAAAGACATTAAGGTTAGAAAATACCCAGAAACCATTTTGAGTTTCTTATAGGCATAATTTTTTATGCAATTAAGATGTGTTTACAAACATAATTTGAAATAAGTATACCTGCTGTGTTCTCTTATTACAGGACATATTTCTAAATACCCGCTAAGCAAGACATATTGCTCGGCTTGCAGCTTACTTTGTGTTTATATCTTATGCTAATAATTACCAAAATGTTCAAAGTTTGTCATTACTATTGCATTAAAACTAGACCAAATAATAGGTGAAATTACCCTCCAAGTGTTTTGTGACTAAAAACATATTTATTATTTAATCCTTCAAAATACTGCTTCATATTGAAACCATCAACTTCTATCTAGAAGATCTTATTTCGGTGTTCAGTCAAGAGATTGTATATTCAAGAGATCAGCAAATACCAGACAGTACTTAAAAGTTCAACGATCCTTTGCTCGGGTGTAAGAGGAAAAAATTACATTTTATTTTTAATCATAACCAAGAAATAAGAAACTTCTCCCTTTAAATTATAAGACAAAGTTGAGTTAAATATCAGAACTCTGCCATTATAATTCTTCAGGGGAACAGCTTATTTTCATTCAAAGCAATATTAAGCAGAAACTTATCTTTCTTATCTTAAAACTCCGTCGCATCTTAACAACCAGCTCCTGCATCTTGAGTAAATTTATTTACTCAGCAATTGCATTAAAACTATCGTAAATGCAGTTGCATTAAAATTATTGTAAAAATTTAATTTCTGAAAACAGAAATAATAAAATCGGGAACACGAAACTGCATCCAATGTAGCGCTGCCAAGTAAGACATCCTCCATATAGAGAATAAGCTTTTTGTTTTATGTTACATCACTTAGGACTCTCATAAAATAAGAAGTCTTGCATCAACCGCTAATATAATAATAGGAATTCTGTCAAAGTGTCGAGGCAAGCTAGAGTAATACCTACATGTGAAATTTTGCTATAATTTTATACTGTGCTTTATCACCTAAAAAGTATACATTCCCATTTCTCCGTCATAGTTATAAATACCATTATTTACACATATACACCTAATTAAAGCGATAAAATTATACTCAAAAGTTCAATAAATTGGACTTGCGGTTAATTCGTATTTTGTTAACCCCCTGAGCGTTATGAGCGGCTTTATCCAGTCATCAGAAGTTTTGCTACTTGGCGCATATATTAGCTTACAATTTAAGATATTTTGCTTTCTTACTTTATTTAATAATGTAAATATCATTTTAATGAATATACGTTTATTAAAATACAGACTAAAATAAGTAATTTAGAAACACAATTAATAAATGCTGTTTAAATACCGGTTTTCATGACGGATCTAAAATCCTGCTCCCGCTCAGAGGGAAATAGCTCACAGGATAACAGAAACTATTGGATTTTTACCATTAGCAGGCATAAATTTATAATTTCACAGGGGAACGTAAAAATAGTTCTACCATTAATATGTTCAAACATACACATAACTTACAGTAGTAACTTTGACCCCCCCCCCGCAAAGAGTAGATTCTTTTGAAACACCAAGCAATGGTTACCTTGGCAAAGAATTGGTTTTACGGTAAACTCTTGCCACTTTAAACCCCTGTGTGGTTAAAATATACTTTAAGTAGTAAACCCCATATTATTAAACCTAATAAAGGAAAGTTTTCAAGAGACAAAGAATTTAGAATGAGAGCTTTAGCTAGTATGCTTATAATGTACATTAAGCAGCTGGACTCAATTTCAAATCTCTGCTTTATATCAGGTCTTGTGGTTTTCTCTATGTGCACCATGCATACGAAACAGTTTATCTTAAAGAGTGTTCCATAAATGTATTTTTGCTCTTAGATAGTCTTTGTATATTTCACCGTATTCAAATAACCTAATGTATCTTATCTTCCAAATCTGAGATTTTGAAAGATATAAATGAAAAATAAATAAGCAGATGATAGCATAAATAAATTACTGCTTTAAAATTTAAAGTCCAAGCAAGGCGAAAGCATATACTTCCTGAAAAATCCTGAATTTAAAGTATCTGGCAGTTTTTTTCCTGTTATTTCCAATAGCGGGGACTAGGCATCTTTCAATTGTTGTACTTATCTTTACAGCAGCCAAGAAAGTGAAATATTGGGCCGTTCTAATGTCATTTCCTTTTAGTAAATCTTCATAGCTTCCATTTTGTGCATAATAAAATCAACCTATAAAAATACTTAAAAAACGGGATTTAGTACATTTTAAGGAGAATTTACTATTTATTAATTTATTTTACTGTAGTTAATTTAGAAGGTTTTTTTTTTATTATTTTCTGTTAAGCATATAAATGAGAATACAGCAATATGCCATTTCATTCTCAATCTCAGGCTGTACTTGAATAATCATATTCTTGAAAATAGATTAGGAAAGGTAAGCTGATTTGTGGATCATCAACATTCACTTATTTAACCCCAATAGATTTCCTTCCAAGCCAAAATGTTAAATACCTGAAAATTTTTAGATTGGATATTTTGGAAGGGGAAAAATGTCTAACCTACTCAGCTAAATATCGCTCCTTAAGATTAGACGTCGCTAACATAATTCATGTTTTGTTTTACACGTGCATTTCTCCACTTACTTCGCTTTGGAACACTTTTCCTGTTTGAATAGTGTAAATTGAAAACTACCCAGTTTACAAGGAACAGCAAATGTGCTTTATGGGTAACATTTGAACTATTCTAATTTTTTTAACCTAATTTTGTTACACAGTGGTGTGTTTCACTTCCACATTAAGTCATTTACAGTTAGTGTCATCAATTCCTTTTACTTCTACAGTGCATGCTATTATCCATACGTTAGGCTACGCAAACAAACAAAATACAGGGTGGTCATAAAAAAAAACCTTTCCCGTTATACGAACCCCTTGGCGGCCTATCTGCTCAATCAAACGAAATAAAATTCCAGATACTGTTATTTGAAGGTATGCGCTCGAGATTGTGATGATTCAAAATAGAGCTTTCAAGGTTACAGTTACAGTGAAAACATATCGAAATTTTCGATATGTTTTCACTGTAACTGTAACCTTTCATTGCGCTGATGTGATTATTCGACACCTCGAATAATCACATCAGCGCAATGAAAAGCCACAAATGGCATTGGAATGATATAGGTGTGATGAGAATTGCTGGTGTAAAACATTTGCAAACAAAAACATTCTAAAAGACCAATGACAACACAAGAGTGGAGAGTGAAAGAAACTTTATTGGAATGACAAAAAAGTTTTCAACGTGTACAACGTTTCACTATAGAGTCATCTCCCGTAACTTTGAAATTTCATGGCCGCAGCTATTTCCCAAACTTACTCCGATGGATTTATGATTCTAGAGTTATCTGAAATCTAAGGTGTACACTTCAAATCCGCAAGATTTTTCAGAGTTGAAAGATGCGATAAAACGTGAAATTATACAAATTCATCATGCGGTGTTACGTTCATCATTGTTACCAACAGTTTCTCGCATGCAATGTGATATCGTCTGCGAAGGTGAGCACGTTGAAAACTTTGTTAATTCCAATAAAAGTTTATTTTCTCTCTCTAGTCTTGTGTTGTCATTCATCCTTTACAATGCTGTGCTTTGCAAATACTTTACTTCAGCACTATTCGCCATACGTATATCGTTTCAGCACCATTTATGGTTTTTCAATATGCTGATCATTTTGCGAAGGAAACAAAGTGGGTGTTGTCATCCTTAAATGTCGAAATTTGCTAACCAAAGTTGTGCATTTGAGTGTTTGCCATCAAAGTCTGAGTTGGAATCAACACTCGAACGCCAAGTTTTCGGTTTTATCCGTTTTGTGCACTCTCTCTGAGTTTGCACTAAACTGAATGTGCAACATTTGATCTCGTTCATTGGCTCTCCCAACACTGTTGTAAGTTCAGATTGGAATTCTAATATTCTTCTTTTCTGCCTCTCAGAGTGTAATGCGACCCTATGTTCTATGGTAATTATTGCTCATCTGGATGAGTACTATCACCCTTCTTAATTTGTAAAAGTAATTTAGAATCACCCTGTATTATTAACTACATCCAGCTGTAAATTTGCCTTGAAGGAATAAATGTGTCCGCCACCCTACCAATATTCTAGAATGTGATATGAAATATGAAACGGTTGTGGATCCATGATCTAATCAGAAGAAAAGAAAACTTACATGCTTTAGAAAAAATGACTTTTCTCTAATAAACAAAAAAATTCCTTTTCCATTCATAACACTCACAATTTTATATATGACAGTGTAAAATTAAAAACTTATATTGCAAAATAATAGAACGTTCCCTCTAGGTCATCTACACTCATGTCCATAAATTAATGATAATTCAAAATCGCAATGAAAACGAACTCTAAAGTAAAAATTTCACCTGTAGAATTATTGCACACATCTTCAAAATAATATGCAAATTACAGGAACCCACAGATGACGCCGAAAAGAATTTTTAAATGCATTTCTTGAAAAACAGAAAAATATTTTTTTTTAAATTTTTATTACTGTATGAAAACTTTTGACACTAACTGTGTGTTTATCTTGTTTCATACATAATGAAGCTTCCAAAACCATGTTATTGGGTTATTTTGTTAATTTTCACAATCACTATAATCCCACTTATTTAAAATCCCTCTAAATATCAGAAGTAATTTATTAATACAATACACTCTTGAGTCTTAATATCTCGATGTTGATAAAAATTTTATATTAATGTAACTAGTAGGTATTTTAACAACGTATATGCCTGCAGGGAGAAAGAAGAATTTTATAAAAGAAGATTAATATTATCTATTAAAGAAGGATTTTTTATAAATTTTCTCCTTCATAAAGTATCACCCATATTTTAGAATACTTATTCCTGAAATGTTTCAAAAGAATATCACAATCGCAGCTCCAGAGAAGAACGGCCTACATGAATCATTACAGTGTGAGGTAGAACATTATCCTTACAATTCTATTGTATTTCTTTCAGAATGTCCTGTTGCCATGTTTGTTCGGCCCTTTGCCCCACCTTCCCTTCCCCCTTTGGGAGGTTTTGCAGAAAGAATTCCTTTGGTTTTCCTTCCAATGACCGGGCAGCTCATCCATCCTGGATCATATTTGACAGTATCTGGTAAACATACTCTTTATTTCTAAAACTTATTTTAATTTATTACAGCTTATTTTGAATAATTTTATGGTTTTATTTCAGAAATTTAGGAAGAGAAAGGAAATAGTTTTAAACTTTTTGTTTCTTTTGTGGGTGAAAAAGATACTATTTTATTAATAAAATTCTGCCTTAAAATACTTCCATTTCACTTCTAGAAATAAACGTCAAATGTCTGACGAACATTTCACCTTTGCATTACTTTATAATTGCAAATAAATTAATTTACTTTATAATTATACCATTGCAAATACTTTATAACAAACAGCACATTTTTAGTTGCTATGAAAAGACCTACAGTTCAAAACTGCTTAAACAGAAGCCTGTCTAGTAACGTTTTCACTGGAACATTCAGTTGAAATTTAAGATTAGACAATTTTAATCCACATCCTACATTTTTCCGGTTCAGCAGGCTTATAGACATGTTCTACAGCAAGAGCTTGATCTGAAAATCTCTTGCAGTTATAAATCATGAAACGAAATGCACTATTTTAACAATTTTTGTAACTTTTTTGACATCCGGTACATGCTAATATAATCTTGTGCTATTTTTTATGCTGAACTTAATGCTTTTTTATGCTTATTTATATTATTTTTTATGCTTATATTTAACCAAAGTAGCTCAGCAGTTGCAAATGTTTGACATATAGGACGTGCAATTTATATGATACAATACTTAAAGCAAGAAAAGTTTCATTTTTATTTAGCTTTAAAAGCTCCAGCAATAACTCTGAAATCTTTTGAGGTAAGTATCTTTTTTCTTGCTAAAGGAGAGCTCTTAGCAATGAAAATGCTGTTATTTATGAACCCTTTAAGTAACACCAACTTACGGTATGATTGCACGTATGACTGAAAGGTATGTATACATAAATGTATTTTAATTTCTAAACGCTTTACTTAAGCATTGGAAGATAGAGGTAAGACACATTTTATTTAATTATTGACCGTTTTCTTTTATTTTCTAATCTGAAACTTAGAAATTAATTTTTTTAATCTTATTGTGTTTCAGATGTAAAATATATATGTATTCCTTTGCGCTTTTAAGTTTTATAATATTTTTCTGTTGTTTGTTACATATTCAAATATAATACATAACATAAAATATAAATATAATATACCATATAATACATAAATATATGTATCATATAATACATAAATATAATTACTGTACATAGCACTAGTATGGTGTTATTCATGTAAGGTGAGGCTGTTATCTTACAGGAATCACAAGACTGGCTCCTAAGCACCACCTTTCTTGCAATGTAAAGGCCTCGTTGTTGATGACATCACACGGATGGCAACCAATAAGAACACCGTCTGAGATATTCGGCGTATATTACGACGGCAACAAAACTTTTTTGCAAGTATGTGTAATTCTGAAAATCATTTAATAATTTGTGCAATCTGATAGAAAATATTTACCTGCTTATATGAACCAAAGTATATACTCTCTCACTGAAGTCAATAACTGACTTCCAACAACTCATTTTAATTACTGGTATTTTTGTATTTTCTTCTGCTTAAATATCACCTGGAGCATATTCTCTTCAGTTCTATCTAATCATTCATCCAGCCTTACTTTTGAGGTTCATTTATAAATTTAACATCAGTGCCACCTTCTTTCACTTAAACAGAGAACAATGAGGGGACACATGGTTTTCCCAGCGTAAATCTAGTCTTAAATGCTTATCCTAACTAGAACTTTAAGATTCTGTGTTGTAATTTAAATGCATTGAACTAATCTTAAGATTCTGAATTCATTTTAGTCAGGTTTTTAAAAATATATAACTTTTGTATTATAAACAGTCTCTTGATTTGTAACTAGCATAAGTGTTTACATAATACTTTTCTTTATTGCTTTCTCCTGTCTTTAGAAATGAATTAAAATGAAAGATAAATTCATTTTGAAAGAAAATTATGTACGAGAATTGTGGTTATTAATTCAATCGTATTATGTGAAAACATTGTTCTTCAATATTATACCAAAAAAATACCTGCTATGCCCAGTTTCTCTGCCCTTTCTGGTAATATACATTTAATCTTTACAACAAACTTTTTACGTTTGATTCGGAAAGTTATGTAACCAAATTTCTGTCTTTGAGGTCTACCAGCGACCTAGAGATAAACAACGCTGAACACAGGCAGTTCGATCCAAGTTTAAGTCCCATCAAATCGGCTAGCTGCATGGCACTTTTCGTCGTTTTCCTTATTTGTAATGTAAATACACGATAGGTTTCTTTAAAAGGCTCCCCATGAAGGCAACCGTCGTCTTAGCCATATAGCCCTTCTGTGCTTTGCAATAATCAAATTCAATTTTATCCTCAAGGCAAGAGCTCTAAAGACTCCATTTATAACCACAATTTATGTCTCTGGATGATACGAATCAAGCTACACTGTACACCTAAACTAAATATATCGAGAAAAAGTTTCAGTATTATACATTTTTTTTTCATGCAGTGAAGGGCATAAATACACATTTTCAAAACTCCTTGCAAATGAAATATCTTTTAATATAGTTTTCTTGAAAATTTTTAAATTCAGAGCATCATGCATTTGCTGTATATTATTTAGCTTTTCCTTTCAGTGGCTAGGAGATGATGAAGATCGTCGCCACCTTCAACATCATTTGGTTTTAATACGGTTGTTATGCGAGGGAGAGACGTCAAACGGAACCTTTGAGCCATGTGCAGCTTTGAGAATAGGATGGGCCCCAGGTAAGAAAAGTTATTTTAAATAATTAATAAGTTTGCACTTACATTGTAATACCTAAAACGTTTACTTAAAGATTCAAATACATAAAATTCAAAAATCTTCAGCACTGATTTTTTTAATAGAAGACATGGTTCACATGGTTTAAACAATATTGCATAGAAACTATTGGAAAAGAAATGCGAGGTCATAAATTTTGTGAGAATAAATGTAAATAATATAAAGCATGTCATATAAGAAGCATTAAACAATTAAACTCAACAGGCATATAGGAGATAAAATGTTCAAAATGATTTAATCAGTTTTCTATTAACTTCCTTTGACTTCAATGCACATACGACTTCGATCCGTTATGCTTCGTATTTCCAGCCGAAAACGGTATTTTTTCACAGTCTTGAAACCGTGAGAACGTTATTCTTCACAAGATCCTCGTCGCTCTAGCATGAACCAAGAGAGTACTACTACAGTTTCTGGAACACGAAAAATTCCCTTGGAGTCAAATCTGTAAATACAGTGGATGAAAAAGGATCTGAAATCTGCATTGTTAAATAGCTGTCTGGGAAACTTGAGTTTTGTGTTCTAACGTCAATCAAAATCAAAACTTTCGTGCTGGATTGGCACTGCGTTTTTACCTTTATAAACTGTCGGCACTGCGGTCTACACAAATGGCAAAAGGGCTCCAGCCTGAGGGCCAGGTAATCCAGGTGATCATTGAAAAGACCTGTATAAAATATTGACATTTATTTTATTATCTAACTATTTTATTTTGTTAGGCGCATTATGTTATCCTTTAAATTTCCTTTTTGCAATGACCTCCCAGCTGATTGATAATAATACTGATGAGCTATTCGAACCTCTCAGCCGTTTTACCTGTTCCGTCACTGGTGAGAATGATATAAAAATGGAACCAATTTCATAACTTTTATTGGTACTTGCGTATTTTCCCGTAGACCGTGAAAGCTGACTACCAGTGAACAACAACAGATGGAGGAGATCCCATTAAAGATGCGTCAGTTGTTCCAGCAGAATTCTGAAGGAACTGATTCCTCTTCAATTAATAATAAACAATTAGTATTGAACCCTCGTCTCGTTTTTTTTTTTTTTTTTTTTTTTTTTTTGCTTCGTGAAAAGGCTTTCATCAATTTCTACTATTTTGCTAATTTCTACTATTTTGCCTCTGATTTTATCGGAAGCTCTTTTGAGAACGATACGAGTACAAACGTTTCACACGTATTTGTTCCTAGTCTATTGCTGTTTTATCGAGTCATATTCAGGTGACTATAGCATGTCCATTAATATTCCCTTTTTTATATTAGAATGCCATAATTTAAAAAATAAACCACTGCTTGCTGCTCTGTAGAATGGAGAAATCTTGTTTTTATTTATTTATTCATTTTTTACCTCTAAAATTCAAGGAAAAAGAGGACAGCAATAACAGTTAACTCACAAACTTGCTCATAAAAACAAAACCTGGTGAATCTAGAATCAATGAGATTTACCAAGGATTTACATTAATGTTATGAGTCTATCGGAATTATATCAATGCACAGATTTTATGAATGTGGCATGCCACGCTTACTCATAATTAATGCTAAATCGTAGCAGTAATGAATGCTAAATTTAGCCGACAGTTTCACGCTCGACAGGAAAATACGTAAGTACTCTTTCATTTTAATATAACATTTACCTAAAGGCTTCATCTGCAATTTAATATATGTTCTAGAGAGTAAAATTTCAGAATTTACTTAAGGAAATTCGTGGTAGAGAGCTAATATATTTACTCACGTTCACGATGTTGGTGCTTATATGGACTAGGTTGCAAAGTAGCAGAAAAGCAGGATAGTCTATGATATCCTGCAAAGATAATTTGCCTCCTCGCTCCTTTCGATTTGGCAATGCTACGTGCTGATGATTTGACGTACTCTCCCAGATAGCAAGTATTGTAACCAAGCTCATGTTGCTTTGATTGTTATGCATACTCTCAATTCTTTCCTCTAAAAGTTTGAGCTAACTTGATAAATTAAAAATCCGATAAATTTCATTTCTGATAAATTTAATTTCTTCTCCTTAAACTTTGAAAAAGTGAAGATTATTTACGCAATATTTGTTCTTTTCACGAATGTGCCGAAAAATAAAGTAAACGTGTATTACTAGAACCTTTAGACAATGAAATGCATTTTTGACGTCAGATGGTCAATTTTTTTTTATTTATTACGTGCTCCACTCTTGGCACTGCACAGAAGGGAGAGATGCCCTGTGGAGGACCTTTCAGGAGAAACTGTCTCGTATCAACTTTACCACATGAGGAAAACTATGAAAGTGCCCATGCAGCTAGCCCATTCACCGAGACTCGAACCTCGGACCGAATTACCAGTGTTTAGGGGCTTTTACTGCTCGGCCGCTTGTGGTCCTAGAAGGTCGATTAAATAGTCTTCTTGATTTCAATCAGGAATTGTAGTAACGGAACTAAAAATCGCATCCAGAAAGATTGTTACTCAGCTCAACTTGTCTCTGCCTCCATATGAAATCGTTTATAAAGACAAGTTCTCTACGTTTCTGATTCCTAAACGTGTTTTAATTGCCTGTGTGTGAGTACGTGTCTCGAAATCAATTTTTAAGTGCTTAAATCCAGCTTTTTCTATACTTTAATCTTTCCAACAATCGGTAAAAAAAGTTTGAAATTTCATTTTTTATATACTGTAATTTAATACTTTGTGAAAGAAATTCGACTTTCCCTCAAGCCATTTCCTAATTCTTCTTATTTTAAAGATATTTATTTATTTTATTTTAATTTATTGGCAGTTGTTAACATTGTATTTGTATCGTACTTCTCCCGTCGAGTACAGCTTCGTCGCATAAGAACTGCAATACTCTAGGAAACATGGAATAAAATGCCCATGTCTGAAAATAATAGATTACTTCTTTTCTTGGGAGATTTAGTAAACCCATGCTGTAAAACACAATAAAAACTAACACAAACATCGTCTGATGGACAAACATCGTCTTAAGGATTTACCAATTGAAAAGAGCTACAAAGAAAAACTGCAAGTCAGCTGTTGCTCTAATTACTTTAAAGGGAAACCATCTCCGTCCTCTATTCTCCCCGAAAAAATACCATTAATAAAATAGAAAAGAAATAAAAATTGCTTCTTTCTAAAAGGATCCGGAAGTCACTTCTTTTAAAAGAATTCGGAAGTTTTCCTGAATTTCTCACAGGATAAAGTCATGGATGGGATTTTTGACGACTTATAGGCAAATATTGGCTAACTGGTAAACGGGATGTACATTATTGATTTCATCGCATAAATTCTGTTAATATTTGCATTTCAATTTTTCGACGCCGGTGGTTAACGTGGATTTTACAATAGCGCTAATTTCATGCTCAGGATTTACAGAAATTATGCTGAATTTTTCCTATGAATGTACGATTCATTTTTGAGAGCATGTAACACAATATAAAGGGTGCTTCTTGATATTGTGCGGTTTGAAAATTGATTGGAATTGATCTACATATTTCTGGTATGGTTTAGTGTGTTAATTTATAGTCAGCTCACATGATCACACATATCGCACATAAGATGTTTACACCTACTAATCTTACTGCCACAATAAGCCACGGAGCAGCAAATAGCACAGAAGTAGTCGCGCACATTCTGGACAATATCTTTAGACTTGATAACGCAGACACAGATAACCCCCCACAAAGAAATATCAGAGCCAGTATTGAGCAATATTACAATACCAAGAAAACAGATTTTGAACCTCTTCCAAAAGCCTAAAAAATTAGCGACATTGTTAAAGCATTAAACACCAATAAAGCCCCAGGTCCTGATGGTATAGCAGGCAGATAGCCCTCGTGTGCTTTGCCATAATTAAATACACCAAACACCTTATGGGATAGATAATGTCATTCTGCAAGCCATTAACAGTGCTCATCCGGTGTTAATGTATGCCTACATTACTGCGTGTTGGCGCAACAGATATTTCCCAGCCGGCACGAAACTTGGTGAGGTGGTGCTCTTCCTCAAAGCGAAAAAAGACCCTAATGTACCAACGTCTTACCGGCCTATTTGCCCTCTTCCTGCCTTGGGTAAAGTACTAGAGAGAGTCGTCCTTCAAAGACTTAAACACTATATCCTGTCTGGACAAAGCATAAGAGACAAACAATACGGCTTCATTCCTGGCAGATCGGTGGATCACGCGCTGCAGCATCTACGAAAAATAATAGCAAATAACAGAAGAAATAACCAGCATAGTCTCATTATCTCTGTGGACATACAGGGCGCCTTCGACTCGTTGTGGTGGCCCGACGTACTGAAGAGATTACAGGATATGGGTTGCCCTAAGATCCTCTTTGACCTTATTTACAGCTACCTAAGTGATCGCCGCCTACAAGCTACTACGGACGCAGGAGTGCACTCACGTTCCATCAATAGAGGCTGTCCTCAAGGATCCTGTCTGGGTCCACTGCTTTGGAATCTTGTAGCCGACACAGCGCTAACTCTCTTTAACACAGATCCTCACACGGAAATACTGGCTTATGCCAATGACTTTTTGCTGATAACCAAAGGGCACAGCCGCAACGCATATGAGACTAGGGCGCAACAAGCAATGGACAAGATGGCCAAATTTGCCAATTACCATAAGTTAATTATTAATTAATTATAAGCCAACTCAAAAATACAAGGTATGCTTATTTACCCAGGTAAGCGCCATCGAAGAACCCCGTGCATCAAACTTCATGGGAAAAATATTAAAATAGTCAGAAACTTGAAGTACCTTGGAGTTATAATTGACGACACATTCACTTGGATGCCACATCTAAAGGAGGTCAAGGCATGACTTCACAAAATATTTCATACCATGCTCAGAACAGCAGCTCCAACATGGGGAGTTTCTTCGAAGATGCTTAAGACGTTGTACTCTGTAGTTGCTGAGCGTATTGCACTGTACGGGGCCTCTATGTGGGGCATAACGATCACTACTAAAATGGAGAATTTGCTAATCTCAGCACAAAGACCATTCCTCCTAAGCATACCCGAGGATATAAAACCTCGCCCACTAATGCTCTAAACGTGATATCAGGACTGCCGCCTCTGCATCTCTTAGCTCAGCGCGAGAGTGCAATAGTGCAAGTGCTCCGACTCAAAGAGACAATAAGTTTATGGGACAGGACGTATGTTTTTACTGACTATGAGCAAAGCATTCCCGAGCCATCTTGCCACCCAGCCGAATTCAACATCTCGATTAACTGCAGGTCACCAACATGGTTCAAAGTCACTGCAATCTACACCGATGGTTCCAAAGGAGAATGTCGCACCGGTAGCGGATACTGTGTTCTACATGGAAACCAGATCTTAAAGATCTGGGAAAGAAATCTTAAGCACCAAAACTCGGTTTTTCAGGCTGAACTTATTGCATTCAAAGCTGCACTTGTCTACGCACTGAAACATAACTATTCCAGTATATATTCAGATTCAGCCTCTATCCTCCAGGCAATCCAAGGCACATGTAGTAAAAATCCGCTCGTCAGGACCATACAAAACTCTTACTAAGAACACCAAAATACTATAGGCCTGAACTCCAGTGGGTACCTGCCCACACCGTAATACTGGGTAATGAAATTGCAGATGCAATAGCTAAAAGAGCAGCAACTGACCCCCACGTTCGCACACTTGACGTGCCTCTCCCGGGCTCGTTCTTAAAAGCTGAGCTCGAGACAGAATTACTCAAACGTTGGCAACATCTTGGAAGACAAAGACCACCGGCAGAAGAGTTCACAGATTTTTTCCAAAAGTCTGCCGGCTTCTAAAAAGTCGCTCGTCTCACTTCACTCAGTTTCAAACAGGTCATGGTCCCTTCATGACTTACCTGCATGGCTTCAGACGACGCGAAAACGACCATTGCTTATGCGGGATGGTAGGAGATCCGGACCACTATCTGTTCGCTTACAGAGAGACCGCCAAATATCATCTTAGGCAACCAGTAGCAAATTACATCCATGCATGGACCGAAGCTACTTCAAAAAATCGCAATGCATTGAAACGCATATGCGATTGCATAAATATTGCACACAAAATCTTAGACAGGGAGGAGTAATTCTCAGCTGCCATTCTCGTCAACAGCACAGCCCCTGTATGCTCTGTACCTGTAATGAACTAATTTTATTTTAAGTTAGCTTATTCGGCTTTTCTTATTCCCTGTATATACTTATCTCCTTGAACTGTAAACCCTGACTTGTGAACCTTGAATTTTGTATTTTGCCTTATTTTATGTATTGTTTTGCCTTTTTTTATTTTATGTATTATTTCGTTTTTTAGTATTTTACTTCTTATTATTTTTAGTATTGCTATTTAGTATTTAGCCCTATTTTAGATATTACTTTTACTGTTTATCAGTCACTTTGTTAATTGCTTATATATTGCACTGTACTCATTTATTGTTCACGTTGTGGATGTCTTTTGTAACCACCACCTCTGTAAATATGTAACTGAAATTGTTCTTCTCACCCGCAATGCACCCTTCTTCCATCACTGCACTATCGTCTCGTCCAGCATTTGTTTGCACTGCCCCCAGCACTCGTCTTGAGCACAATATGTATATATAAGTGTGTTATGTTAATCAAGTTATTTCCGTCAGCGGGGCTACCTGGCTGATATGCTAACTACCCAGTGGACCGGCTGCCTCGCTGTCGCTGGAAAGAAAGTCATCTCATTACTTTTTAACTCAGCCAAATTACGAAAAAAAAATTATACCGAAGCTTTCTAAACAAAAGATTGTTAGTTATGTAATTAAAATATCGTTGTTGTTGGTAAACAAAAAATAAATTTTTCCCACCAGCGACCGAGCGGTAAAATCGTTGAACACTGGTAGCTCGACCAAGGTTCGAATTCCGACGAATGGGCTGGATGCATGTAAGTTTTCTTGGTTTTTTTTCTATGTGTAACGCATGGCCAGTTTTCCTTTAAAACCTTCACGAATGCATCCTTTCTTTAGGCAGATAACATGCGTATACTTTGCCATAACCCAAATAGTCCAATTCAATCCAATCCAACAAATATGTTTTGCTTAACTTGTACAGACATTAGGTTACCTCGAAGCAGAAAACATAAAAAATGAGCAAAAAGCAATTCGAAGCTTCCCCTTTTAAAGGGCGACTGGGGATTAGGGGACCCAATCACCAAATCCTAGTGGTGGAGAATCATCATCCACAACTTTTTTTTTTACTTCGGGTGCTACCGTAGAGACATTAGGTTTATTTTGAAGCAGGAAACTTGAAAAATGAGCAATGCCCTCGCTGGGACTCGAGCCTCGGACTTCCGGAATACGAGCCGAGCGTGCTGACCACTATACCACCAAGGCATGATAAGAAGACAGAAGAAATACCTTATAAACTACCTCCTTAACTACAAACAGCTCGCGTTAAAACCAATATTTTCCCTAAAATTTCTTAAGCCATAGAAACAGAAGAAATCCTTTATACTAGTGATTAAAATTCTATAAAATTCCCTAATCCCTCAAAATCAAATTCTGAAAATTATCAGCAACAGAATATTAATGATTTTTCGCCATATTAAGAATCCTTTTGAAAGAAATTTTGGTACTTTTCTGTTAAAGTTACCACGAATTATTTTGTTGCTAAGCAGAGAGAGAATGTTGCCAAGTATGGTATCCACAATTAACTGTTATGTGCCAAGCTTTTCTTACTATGTATATTTTAGAAAAATTCGGTCGTAAGCAAAACCTCAAACAGTATCCAATTGGAGGGGAAAAAATTAAGCAAAGTTTTGGCAGTCAAAGTCATATCTTTAACAGAAGCGGCGGAATTTTGAACCGTAAGAAAGGTTTCTGACTTGTAATTACTTTTCAGGGTATGTAGAGAAGAAACGTTTTTAATTAAAGGTTTTTCTGTATAATAAATTTCGTTATTGCTTTTATAAGCTAAATAAAACCATTCAAGTATAAAAGTATGTCTAAAGAGAAGCAACAGTTACATGGGTACCTAATTAGAAAAGCAATATGCCAATGTAAAATGAGACAAAAGGCTGTTTTGTTTTCATTCGAAATGTACAAAAATACAAAGTTGCACTTTTGCCTAATTCACATGTGCACTAACTGAAACCGAAGAAACATTCGCAAATGAAAAACCTGACGGATGGGGGATTCTGAAAACATTATACAATCGAAGCTTCCGTTTTAGAATGCATTATGGCAAAGTATGCGGGTATTATCTGCTGTGGGAAAGGGTGCTTTTGGAAGAACTTTTTAAGAGAAAATAACTCATATTCACATTACACTTGGAAAAAAAACCACCAAAAATTTCTGGCAGGCAGTTCATTGGTCGGAATCCAGACTCAGATGGAAATACTAGTGTTCAATAATTTACTGCAGCTGATTTTACTGAAGGCACTAAAACTTTGAGTCCGCAAAAGTTATGTAGCGTATATACTTTGAGATCATTTTTGCTATTATGTTTTTATTATGTACACCCATAATCACCATCAATGACTCTAAACATTATTTTGTATCGCCATTTAATCTGATTTTCTTTACCGTTAATCATTTAGAGTATCTTACTTGCCTCTAAATCTTAGTGACAGGTGGGGGGAACCCCCAAATGTCCTGTATTGGGGGCTCGCCTTAGAATGTAAGGTTTACGGCCGAAATTGAATGAGCCAAAGCCTCTTTTCCAAATAACATGAAATATTTTATCTAATCCAACTAACTCTAAGAATTCTTGCTATTTCTAAAACGAAACAAATTATCACTTCTAATCATAGGTCTGGAACCTGAATTGATTGATCAGTCTACAAACAAGAATAACTTTATAATCATCGGACTGTGCCTAGGAATCTTGGGGCTGATATACGTGGGAGCAGTACTTATTTATCTCAAAGTACGCAAAAATAGGCGACAGTTGGCGACAAGGCAGGGACTTGCACCTTCCCATAATACCATCGAATCTGCAGAGGAGGACAGCAATTCTACTCAAGTAGGTGCTTGCATATTTTATCTGAAAACTTAAGTTTAATAAAATTACGAATGATTTATTAAATCCATTAATTCAAATTAAGTTATTAATTATATGATTTATTTAATCATTAATCATTAATTATTAAGTTAACGCTACATTTTAAGAAATACATCTTTCATAATTTTTTCAAGAGAAAATTTTTTATGAAAATCACTAAACGTTTTATTTATTGCATGTATTTTATTTCTTTAATTTGCATTAAGTTCCTTTACCATTATACGTAGCTCAGAATGTCCGAAAGAAAGTTTTGGGTCTGGTATAAGTTAATGTGATAAGAAATGTTACACAATATATTTTGAAATATTTTTATACCAGTTAATAGCTAGCATAGATTCTGAAAAAACTGCTGCATGTGTACGGGTTTGTAACAGATTGAACGCACGCAAATCCGTTGATAGGCTGATAAAATTTCTTTTATCAAAAGAAACACTTCAGAGTTCTGGAGCTTTCCATTAAAATTGTCGTACAACTCTTCACAGTACCGCAGAGCACTATCAGTAGTTACACTTCAAACTACTGAGAATGTTAAACACAACGCAATGCAAAGCGCATCTAAACCAGCGAAGCTAACCCAGAGATATCTCAGCACTCTGCTCACGCTAACCTAACAACTGAGAACAGATGCTCTGTCCGGTCTTATAGAGCACGGCCGCCGAGATATTTCTAGTACTTTCTGCTTCTCGAAATTACTGGAAGGCATATGGGGGCCGAATCTGTTACAGCTACATAGAACATCAATTACAGTTATTGAATTACAATTGTAGAGACATTAGGTATTTTTGGAAGCAGGCAAGATGAAAAATTAGCAACGCCTTCGCCGGGAATCGAACAGCGGACTTCTTAAATTACGCGCTGAGCGTGGAGACCATTACACTATGAAGGCTTGCTAAGAAGGCGGGAGAAAATACCTTGTATAATATCCATTACGGTTATACTAGTACCGCACCAAAATGTCCCCAAATGGTGGCCAAATTTGCTGACTTTTGGCGACAAAAATTAGACTCCATAACAGTTGCCAGCTTGACAATATTTCGCTAATTTAGCGAGACAGCCATTTACTCAATGTTAAATATAAATAGATTTGCCCCTGTATTCTTAAGTTCCAGCAACCTTCGCTTCTCTAAACTTTCCCGTTCAATCAAACGAAAACATATAACAGTTTCCCATATAATTGCACTAAAATCATCTATCTATATATGCAAATTTCATTAAACTAGGACAGTATTTCAGCATGAACGTCATTAAAAGTATGATAATTAATTTACCTATCTGAAAGAAATTATATTTCACCCACTGAAATTATATTTACACATAATGTTCAAATAAAACATTCCTGGCGTTAATTCTCGCAACTGTTGTAGTAATTCTTTGTTTTACAGCTGGTAGTACATTACATCAAAACCATATTTGATGTAGAGATAATTTATGGTACAAGGAATAAAACAACTGTTAATACATGAACTGCATGATATTTTAAGAATATTTTGATCTGTAATATAAGAATTTCATGAATAATTTTTCATTTTGAAATAAATTTATAAAATAATTTCAATGAAAACATTTCAAGGAACGTTTTATAATATCTTAAATATCATTATTTTGTAACATTTTCATGAAATTTAAATTCTGTATGAAGATAATATTTATATATTGTAATGTATTTTGCAGTAATTGACAAAACAGGCAATCTTCTTAGTAGAACATAAATTTATTTCTAGTTCATGGAGATAGATAATTTGAAGAAATTCTTTAGTGGCAAAACTTTCATACTACTACTAGCTGGTAAAAACTTCAGAATCTGAATTTTAAAAACAATTTCTCACGTTGCTGAGCAACGGTTACATAATACAAATATGGAGTTGCCACTTCAACATAGTTATTTATTAAATAACAAGATATTACAATATACATGTAGATAAAGAAACATGCCAGGTTTCAAGAATACACCTTTGGACCCCTTTTCATACATGCATGCAATAGCGAAAAACATGTCTCAATGACTGCATATTTTAATTTGAAAAGTTTTAATATTTTCTGGTCATAAAGTAGATGAAATCTTTGTTTTCGAATGATAGGATAGCAAAATACAGATTACTTTTTCAGAGCAGCGGTTCTCAACCAGTGAGAATTGCATAGTTTGAGGGGGAGATGCGGTCAACCTTTTCTTTAGATGTTGGGTATTCAGTTTCAATTCTCGAATATAAAAAACTACTTTTATTCAAATTTTGGCATTTACGAACACTTTCTACGCTTTTTGTTGCTTAATTTATGAAACACATTAGAAAATAATCTAAAATAATATAAATGTGTATTTTTCATGTTTGGAAAAGAAAGTGTATGATCTTCTAGAAATAGTAAAAGGGGTAAAAATAGTTGAAATTACTGCTTTGTAGGTCTGTTTTATCTCAATTTAGAGGAATAGGCTTGGAATTTTTTTATAAATATTCCACCTTCGGCTTTGACAAAATCCCAGATTTCATTTCCGATTTAATAACCACCTAAAGAAAAAGAAGAAAAGTGTGTTAACATTGCTTGATAGGAAAAAAAAAAAAAAAAAAAAAAAAAAGAACCACTGAATTGCATATTCTACTTTCTCTCGTTTTCAGCGCTTTAACCATTTCATTTCGAAAGTGACTTTCCTTTTATAATACACTTTTAGTTTCAAATTAAATTAATTTTTTATTTTACATTCTTATGAACTCTTTCCTCTACTTTAGCATCTTCGCTCAGTAATCGAGTGGATAAAATCGTTGAAACTCTTATTTTAACCAGGTTCAAATCTCGACAAACGGGCTGGTTTCAAAAGCGTTTGCTTGATTTTCCCCATGTGTAACCCAAATACGAACCAGTTTTCCTAAGAAGGTCCTTCTAGAAAATATCTCTCGCTTAGACAGATATATTGGTATGATTGCCTTAATCTTATAAATTAATAGAGACCTTAAGTTCATTTTAAACTAAAAACGTTATAAATTATCTGTGTACTCGACACGAGTCAAACCCCCAGATTTTCCATTGCTAGCTGGATGTGTTACCACTTACACGATAAAGACATGTGAGGAGGAATGTGGTGATTTATTAGCCTTTTCCTCACTTAAAGGATGACTGCGGAGAGGCACGAGACGCAATCGACCAAATGTAGGTGACAACGAACTATTGACCACCATATTTTAGAGTCCTACTGGTGAGGCATTGCATTTCCTCTAATCTGAGAACGGGAAAAATCAACTACACTTTCCCGGGGATTCGAACCACGGGTCTTCTTCTAGTGGTAGTTGCACGTGCTACCACTTACATCTCGAGGCTATTGACAGACTAAATCTCGAGGCTAAATGGCAATTAGCTGAGGAGACAGTCTTTCTAACTTTTGAAATCAGCTGCTTTCAGTTCCAAAAATAGAAGCTTTGTGTGTGTTTGTTTAATTTTTATATATATATATTTTTTCTAAAATATTTTATCCAAGCCATTTGGCTAATGAGATGGAATTTCCGAAAATTTTAATCGAGATTAAATTATACTTTATTAGGTATTTCTCCCGCCTTCTTAGCATGCATTCATGGTGTAGTGGTCAGCACGTTCGGGCGTATTCGAGGGGTCCGTGGTTCGAATCCCGGCAAGGGCATTGCTCATTATTCACGTCTTCTGCTTCGAAATAATCTAATGTCTCTACAATTTATTAACAATTTTTCTTAATAATTTGTCATTACATACTGCTTCTTCGTATATTTAAGAAAATTTTTTAATATATTGCAGATCAAAGGATCACCATTAAAAATATTTCTAGTTAAAGCACTGGCTCCAAATTTTTATCGCAAAGCTCCGTCACGATATTTTCAGAATATTACTTCGGTATCTATTCTTTTTATGAAACAGAAGAAAAGAATTTATGATATATAGATACTTAAATGCCTTGTTTGATTCAAAATGTCCTCTAAATTCCTAATTCGTTATCAGTTGCTTTTAATTACGGATTGTTTCCTCTCATTTTAATTTTACTTATGTTAAATTTCTGCTCGCTTTGAAACATCTTTATAAAACATAACTACGCCTTTTTTATATTCTGTTTATACTTAATGAATTGGATGCCTTGCAGATGTACAATCATTAATTAATTCCATAGGTGCTTCATAATAGGAAAAACCTGTGGCATTTTAGTTAAGTTAGGCCCTTCAGTGGCCGAGCGGTAAGGTCCCTGAACACTGGAAGTTCGGTCTGAGTTTCGAATCCCGTGGAACGGGCTGGTTGCCCGTCGTTTCCGTAGTTTTCCCCTTGTGTAACGTATTAATACGAGCCAGTTTCTCTTAGAAAGTCCTCCACGAAGGCATCCCCCCCTTCCCTGTAGTGGCTTATGGTGGAAAACGTAAAGAATAATAATAATAATTTTAGTTGAGTTTAACTATCTAGTTTAATTTTTAATTTGCATCTTTTCTTTATGTCTCATTTCGTCACCTACTAGCTCATTCCAGAGATTTATGCAGATCTGATTAGCAAGCGGTTTAGCATTAAGTGAGGGAAAGAATTCATAACCGTATGAGCGTATCAGATCAACGTTTATCTGTCATTTAGCGAATTCCGTTGCTCGAGAAAATCAAAATTTCCGAACTTTTGCCTTGATGATGATTTGGTCTATATTTTAGTTGTCTAACCAGTGCGTTGTATCCTTGATAACAAATTACTTAGAGATTGTACACTAGGGACTTTTGCATCCCAGTTTTTTTCTCTGCACAGTCCAGAAGACTGGTAATTTTGTTTTGTAATATTTTGTCTCTCATAAGAGGAAAGTGGAATAAAATTAAACTTAAGATTATCTATATGGGTCTCGAGTGCTTTTAACATTTAATTTATCAATCATCGGCAACTCTCATCGTAGTTTTTGGGTAACATTGAGGGATGAGAATTAGAGTTTAAATAGCTAGCGGCCTCTACAATTATTGCAAACATACTGCAGATGTAAGCGCAAC